TTATATAAAATAAAAACCAGCAAGGAAAACTATTAAAAAAATATCAGATTTTTAAAAAAGCTTTTCAAGTTCCAAATGATCTAAGGCATCACCACATCGTTCAGAGCAAAACAGAATCTTAAGAAAGTGTGGGAGAGGGATGTGAAGCTCTGAGCGGCTACGTCAGGAGGTCTGGGCTCAGAAACCAGCCTCCCCACTAATTGGCTAGTGTCCCTGGACATGAATCTGATGATTACTCAGATATAAGGCATGGCTGGCCTAGCCCACATTGTGCCCTTAGCTACAATGAGACAACACAGTTTATAAACATCATAAGACATCATAGTACATTAAAATCAGCAAGGGCAGACCAGAAAAACCAACCAATCCACAAAAATATTAGTGCAAAAACATTTGCATGCCCAGCACACACAGAAAGCAGTGCGGGTGGTGGAAGATGCCCTGGCTGGACGTCAGGAGACGGTGTTCTCTAGTCCCGGGCTTCTCCTACCTGTGATGTGACCTTGACAAATAACCTCTCTCTGGAATCAGCTTTCTTATCAGCAAACAGGTGGCTGGGCTTGGTGGTCTCTGGGTTTCTTTCAGCTAAAATATTTTATCATTTTAAACCTCTCTTCATATTGAAAATAACAACAAATACTGTTTAAGTGCTTACTATGTGCCATGGTTTTTGCAGACATTATTATGGTTAATTCTTACTACCACTCTCTTAATAATACTGTCCTCATTTCACTGATGAGGAAACGAAGACACAGAGAAGTCAAGTAATTTGCTCCATGCCACAACACAGAGCCAAGATTCCAACCCAGGTGGACTGACACCAGAGCTTTGCTCTCCACCCTGGACCTGCTGCCTCCTATGAGAGCCCAAGCGGGGAAACCCAAAGACCCAGCAATGTCCCCCAAACCTCACCTCATGTATACAGAGGTTCTTGGCTCAGCTACTCCACTTGCTCAGTCTGTGAAAGGAAGCAAAACATGTTTTAAAGTCCTTGAAATTGGTCAGCATGAGAAGTGACAGCCCCCCTCAAAATATCAGGTGTAACTTTCAGGTCTGATCACAGATTTTGTAATGAACTCAGCCTGCTACTGTTGTGTAACAAAGAATTTGACTGGCCTTTGTCCCTGGTTCCTGGTAGGGAGACTCTAAATCCTTGGAATTTCTGCGGTAACAGAAGTGTCTGTTATTCATGAGCTCCTTGGATCACATCCGAGTTTATGCTAAGAGATGAGATGACTTGAGATGGGGGCAGGTCACCAGAAAGACAACTGTGCGATTAGAGGGGTGGGGCTTTGAGTCAGCCCAACCTCTGGGTAGGGGAGGTTGCCTAGGAATTGAGTTCAATCACATGGCCAACGATTCAATCAACCAAGCCTTTGTAATTAGACCCCAATAAAAACTCAGGATGCCAAAGCTCAGCGGAGCTTCCTGGTTGGTGAAGACACTGATGTAACAGGAGGGAGACATACTCTGATTCCACAGGGAGAGGGCACAGAAGCTCTGTGTCTGAGACCCTCCCAGACCTTGTCCTATGTGTCTCCTCGTTTGCCTGGTCCTAATTTGTATCCTTAATAATAAAACTTAATAATAAAAATCGTTAAGTACAGTGCTTTCCTGAGTTCTGTGGGCTATTCTAGCTAGATATCAAACCTGAGGTTCTGTGGGCTTCAGTTTTCTCATTTCTTAGAAGTAAAACCAAAGCTTTTTAGAGACAGCCCTTTTCTAAGTGTGCGCATGTGATGCGCTAAATGAAACTAACCAGAATAAGGGGCTTGAAGTGTGTGTTAAGCCTTCTGCCCAATTTTTTATTTTTCTTATTTATTTGTAGTAATTCTCTATATTCTACAGATGAGTCCTTTGTTTCAAATAGTTTCTCCCACTCAAGACTTACTTTTTAACTCTCTTTTAGATGCTTTCTAATAAGTAAACATTCTAAATTTTAATGTAGTCCAACTTATCCATTCTAAAATTAATAATTAGTGTTTTTTACAACTTGTTTAAGAAATCCTTCCCTCTTAAGGTCATGAAGATATTCTCCTCTATTGTCTTCTAAAAACTTTATTATTTTGCCTTTCACATTTAGGTCTATAATTCACCTAGAAATGATTTTGTGTATGCTGTGAAGCAGGGGTGTCCCTTTAGTTTTAGTCTCAAATTCCCTTTCTTGACTCCTTCAGACTTAATATGCAAAACACCTTTTGGATTTGACATTCCTTCAATAATACTCTGTCTCTTGAATTATTCTCTGGCTCCAATTGCCACAGCCTGTAAGTGAGTGACAGCCTGTTCATGAATCCATCCAGGTTTCTGGGACATCATGCCCAGCCTGGGCTCAGGGCCTTGCGCCCCCTTGTCTGTAAAAGTTGATCAGTCTTTTGAGTACATTAGGAGTTCCTTGAGAAGATCTTTTTTCCTCTGACTACTGAGCACTTATTCCAATTTCTCATCTGTAACAGAAATTCAGTAAACATCTGTTGAATAAATGAAACGAATGAATAGATGGATGGATTAAAATTAAATATATGCTAATAAGAATATGCATTGAGAGTAGTTTGAAATTCTCACGTAATATGTATCAATTATTGATGGCTCACTGTTAACAGACAATAATCTGGGAAGACAGAGCCTTTAACCCTGGCATGAGACATAGCTTCTCAGAGAGCCCAGCCCATTTACTCCAGGCTTGCTTTAGGTAACACGACTTCACAGAGAGTCTGTGAGTTGGTAGTTTCCCTCACCAACCCATATCTGGAACGTTTTTAGAAACTGAGTTCAGTGCAGAGTCTTCATTTCCTATTAACAAACTAATTGCTGATAGCAGCAGCCTGGAGGCAACGTGCATTATCACTATGCTAGAAAGGGAAGTCTGCTGCTGCGTTCAAGGAGTAGTTATAAATATTTTCCCTGCTACTACATAGGAATGGCATATGATGCTAAGATGCAGGACACTCTGGGCTACTCTAGGCGCATCAGCCATAACACTACCTGTTTCTCTTCAACCCAAGAAACAATATTGGAATCCAGGTAAATGAGAGGGAGGGGCTGGCCCCGTGGCGTAGTGGTTAAGTGCGTGCTCCGCTGCTGGTGGCCCCGGTTCGGATCCCGGGCGTGCACCGACACACCGCTTGTCAGGCCATGCTGTGGCGGCATCCCACATAAAGTGGAGGAAGATGGGCACAGGTGTTGGCTGAGGGCCAGTCTTCCTCGGCAAAAAAGAGGAGGATTGGCATGGATGCTAGCTCAGGGCTGATCTTCCTCTCAAAAAAAAAAAAAATGAGAGTGTAACATTACAAGGATAACTCTGGATCTGTTTGAATTAATTTTTTAAAATGTAAAAGTTACAAGTTTCAAACTCTCCTTTCCCAACAGTGGAGGGCCAATGGCTGTGTATAATGTATTCATAAGTCTTCTAGGTTCCAAATGAGAAAAGTTAAAAGGCTATGGATGTATATCTAATAAGAACAAAGGGTGGCTGTACATTTTTATTTCAAGTTAAATATCAGAAGGCTGGAGCAGATTCACCAAGCAGCCTCCTTATATGTGGGATACTGTGTGGTTTGTGAGTGACCTCAAGTAATCAGATTTTAGTTATTAATAAAGTATTTCCCTAGTTTTGGAAAGCCTTGAACTCTCTCTCTCTGAAAACCAATTTTTCTGTCGCCAGCACATATCATTATCTCTTTAAAAAGATCACATCAATGCAAGAGGAGGCAGCAGATACAGTACCTGAGGTTTTTCTTTAAGAAATTCAGGTAGCTGAAATTCTCCTTTATAGACCTGGAAAAACAAAGCCACGTGTGAGTTTAAGGAAACAGGTGCCATCATGCTCACTTCAGGGTGCCTGCAGTGCCTGACGGTGGATGGGTTTACTGTCAGTTCAAGGGCGGCCACCGCTGAACGGCTGAGTGACAACCCCACGCACGCTGCTCCCACCTGCTCCACATCTGCCTGAGTGCTCCCAAATGCAGGCTGGCTGGGACAGGGCTCAGAGTATCTGAAGAAGGAAAAAAATGCATCCCAACATTCCAAGTTCCAATCATTTTAGCTGAGCGAGACAGCAAGCTCTAGGCCATTTCTCGCAAGTAACCAACACAGAATTCACACAATTCAGGAACAGCCTGCTCCTGACTTCCTCTTGAAACCTCCAACCTTATAACCCTGGATTTAATCCAACTTCACCTTTTCTTAATGTATCCAATATTCCCATAATAATCTGAATATTAGATGGATTCTTAAAATGATATATACTTTTAACCTTGTAAAATCTTATAATTAAACTTACTTTTTTAATATATAAAATTATGCTTGCAATACCAGCAATAATTAGGACATAATTTAAAAAAATAATACCATTTATAATAACATCGGAAAAAAACCCCACCAAATACCTAAAAATAAATCTAATAAAAGATGTGTAAGATCTTTACACAGAAAACCACAACACATTACTGAGAGACATTAAACACCAAATGAATTGAGAGACATACCACTTTCAGGGAATGGAAGATTCAACACAATAAAGATGTCCATTCTCCTCAAAGGATTTCCAATCAAAATTCTAGCATGCTTTTTTTGGGAGGGGGAAGGGTGATTTCAAGCTGATTGTAAAAGTTACATGGAAATGCAAAAGGCCAAGAATAATCAAGGTAATCGTAAAAAGAACAAAGTGGGAGGACTTATTCTACCAGATATTAAGACTTACTATTACACACCTATAATTAAGCTATACTATACAGATATATATGTATATATAATTCAGCTATAATTAAACAGCAAGGTTTTGGCACAAGGATAGAGAAATATATCAATGAAACAGAATAAAGAGTTGAGAAACAGACCTTTGTATACAGACACTTGGTTTATAACAAAGGTGGCACCACAAAGAAGTGCAATTAGAATAAATAAATAAATGTGGTTTATGTAATACAATGGTATACTACACAGCAATAAAAAAAATGAACTACTACTATACAAACAACATAGACGAATCCCAACATATAATGATGAGGGGAAAAAAGCTAGACCCCTGAAAATAATATATTACATGTCTCCATTTAAAAATTTTAAAGCTCGTAGAAATTACAATGGACACCTCAGAAATCCAAAAGATCATATGAGAGTACTACGAAAAGCTATATGCCAACAAATTGGATAATCTAGATGAAATAGATAAATTCTTAGAATCATACAACCTTCCAAAACTGAATCAAGAAGAAATAGAGAATCTGAATAGACCTATCACCAGTAAGGAGATCTAAACAGTAATCAAAAATCTCTCAAAAAATAAAAGTCCAGGACCAGATGGCTTTCCTGATGAATTCTACCAAACATTCAAAGAAGACTTAATATCTATCCTTCTCAAACTCTTCCAAAAAATGGAAGAGGAGGGGGAGCTTCCTAACTCATTCTACGAGGCCAATAATACCCTGATACTAAAACCAGACGAGGCCAACACAAAAAAAGAAAATTACAGGCCAACATCACTAATGAAGACCGATGCAAAAATCCCCAACAAAATACTAGCAAATTGAATACAACAATTCATTAAAAAGATCATACACCATGATCAAGTGGGATTTATTCCAGGGACACAGGGATGGTTCAACATCTGCAAATCAATCAACGTGATACACAACATTAATAAAATGAAGACTAAAAATCACATGATCATCTCAATAGATGCAGAGAAAGCATTTGAGAAGACAGAGCATCCATTTATGATAAACACTCTGAATAAAACATGTATAAAAGGAAAGTACCTCGACATAATAAAGGCCATATATGACAAACCCACAGCTAATATCATACTCAATGGTGAAAAACTGAAAGCTATCCTTCTAAGAAGAGGAACCAGACAAGGATGCCCACTTTCACCACTCTTATTTAACATAGTATTGGAACTCCTAGCCAGAGCAGTCAGGCAAGAAAAAGAAATGAAAGGGATCCAAATTGGAAAGGAAGAAGTGAACCTTTCACTATTTGCAGATGACATGATTTTATACATGGAAAACCCTAAAGAATCCACCAAAAAACTTTTAGAAATAATAAATGAATATTGCAGGATACAAATGAAAGTTGCAGGATACAAAATCAACATACAAAAATCAGTTGTGTTTCTATATACTAACAACAAAGCAGCAGAAAGAGAAATGAAGAATACAATCCCATTTACAATTGCAACAAAAAGAATAAAATACCTAGGAATAAACTTAACCAAAGAGGTGAAAGAGCTGTACACTGAAAACTATAAAACATTGTTGAAAGAAATTGAAGAAGACACAAAGAAATGGAAAGATATTTCATGCTCTTGGATTGGAAGTATTAACATAGCTAAAATGT